TACCATTTACTTAGGGAGAGATGATTAACTCATACCAAGGTCTGAGGAATTTACAACAGGAAGATGCCTACTTTCCCTGGTCAGTAGTCACATACCTCTGGTCACAAGATAGGGACCCCTCCCAAAGGCTTGTGGTTTTTGTCTTTAAAAGCTGATTGTAGCTGAACCTCGGGGCCAATCGGTCTAAAAACTGACCGAGAGGCCCATCTGCAGATGCCTAATTAAAGCCTCTTGCATGTTGCATCAATTGGCGTGTGGACTCTTGATTCTTGGGGCAATGAATCCAGCTTGGGGACCCCTCCTCAATTCAGGGAACCCCAACAGAAAGGACTCGCCAGTGAGATCAAGCAGGCAAAGAGAGCAAGCTTCCTTCTTCCATATCCTTTATATAGGCTGCCAATAGAAGGTGTTGTCCAGATTAAAACTATATCTTCCTACCTCAAAAGATCAGGATTAAAATTGGGCCTTCCCATTTCAAATTATTTATCTAAGAAAAAAATCCCCCACAAGGTGTACCGAGACAATTGGATTTTAGTTAACTTCAGATGTAGTCAGTCGGGTTGACAGCCAAGAATAACCAGAGGAAGTAGGCCTCATGCCCTAGAAAGATATACCTTATTATTGTCCCTTCCCCCTACAACGTTCTGCTTCCCATCCACCACAGAGTGAGCAGCCCCTTTCCTTCTCATGCTCCCCAACTAGAGGGTTCAGCTTCCTTTGGACCCACCGCAATAGGTCCATTGAAGCCAGACCGATACCATGAACCAAAGCAAATTCTCCTTCATTAAGTTATGTTTCTCAGTGATGAAAAACTGACTGTATGCATTTGAATTTCTAATAAACAAAAACAGTTTTTCTCTGAGTATGGCCCAGGCAATTCTTTTATCTTTTACCCTAATTAGGCTATTACATGTTAAATATATAGATATCTGGAGATGGGTTGCAACAAAAATGTGAGAGCAAGGTTATAGATCAATAAGAAAAACACAAACCACTTAAGCCAACAGAAAAACATGCAGGAAAAGAAAAAGCCAATGAGCAATAAGCATAGAAACGTGTTGCGTATTTAACTTTATAGACAATCAAGGAGATGCAACTAAAACATTATTGAAACTTTCAGTTGGAAAAACTTTTATTCTGTTAATATCAGAGAGAATAAACAACCACAAGGTCCTTCTTGCTTAGAATATCAATTGCAAAAGCACTTTGCAAAGCCCAAGAGATCATGCCAACCAACAGCAGTTCTCATATCTATTCCTAGGGAGTCACAGGCAGCAATAACTACCACAGAATCATTTACAGCCAAATTAAATTGAAAATAGGGCAGCTAAAGTAGAATGAATAAATAAATCTGATAAATGTTTTTATCATCGACTACTATAGGCAAGACAAAAATAATTGGAGTAGAACTACCCGCTGTCAACACTAATAAATCTTCAACATAAATCGAATGGAAACCATCAAGTTGCAGGGTTATGATTTGATAAATGTACTGTGTAAAGTGTACAGGAAGCAAGATATTGCTTGCTGGTGCCTATAAATAACAAAATACCAAAACATGTCTAGATGTAAAACACTAAATTAAAGGTAGCTCCAAGAGGCAGAGAGAGTGGCATTGAGGTAATACGGGGGCGGGGCTTCGCTGCTTATGTCTTCCTATGAGAAAAAATGAAGAAGAAAAGGGCAAAGATTATGAAACTTCATGATCTGGCAAGGTTACAGAATAGACAAAGGGAAGGGGGAGACTTGGAGAGAAAGACAGGCTGAGACACACTGTGGGTGCAGGGATGAGTGACTCCTAAGCCTTAGAGATTTGCTGACTGTCGGGACAGCCACACAGACACACTGTCTGGAACTGATTCTGCCTGGAGGAACACTTTTCAGGAACCAAGCAATGCCTTTCAAGGCTTGAGAAATACTGGAGTGGCCAGTCTTTCCTCCTGCTCTGAGCATTCCAGTGCACTGACAAAATAAAGTACCAGCCTGATGCGCGTCAGCTTCCAAGGGCTGAGCTCGGGAGCGGCTCGGCGCTTTCCTCTCAGAACTCTCTTTGCAGTTTTGCTGACTCTTGGTTTCTCGGTTTGTGGCTCTATTTTGGACATAAATAAAACTGGGTTTGCTTTCTTTAACCCTGTGATTTCTTGGCTTCTGCACGTCAGTATGCCATCACGAGGTGACACCCCTTCAACAATAAACACTCTAATGAGAGGATAGTGTCTCATCTATTTAGTCATAGTTTTATGTGACACTGGAGCCTTCAGGTTGATGACTCCAAGGCCCCAGGTGAATTATCCATATTTAGACTTAGATGGATGAAGTATGGACAGGCAGGCAGAAAGTGATTGGGAAGCGCATCTGTGACAATGGGCACGGTAGGGAGACAGCAGAGTCTGTCTAGCTCGTCTAGGCATCTCTGGCCAGCATTCCTCTCTCCGGGGCATGGCGTGGGACTTTCCTGAGTGGGAGTTCTTATGATCGCACAAGCTGAGAATTTCTTTATGGACATCTCTGACACACAAAAGCAAGAGAAAGCTGAGATGCTACTTTGGGGTCTTAAGACTCATTTGGGGGACGAGATGTCACGATGAGAGCAGCACGCTATGAAGATGCTGTGTGAGAACATAGATGGACATACCTGTATCTCTCCACAATGTCAGAAGTTATTGAATAACAGTAAATAACAAATTACCTTCCTTTCCTTGGCTGCAATTTCCCAGGGAATCCCAGATTCCCTTGATAACTGGCCATTGGCAAACACAGGTTCGTTTATTCCAGTCTCAACTGGAAAAGTCTAAGGTCCTGCTTTGTATGTCACATAGTGATGTGATTACATTTGTCTATATTGATAAGAAATATATATAGGCTACAAAATGGGTACCAAAGGGTTAAAGCAGCCTCGTGGGAGGTGGAGGCAGAGGCAGAGGCAGAGGACCAGTGCAGATACAGAGTTATTGCAGCTGGTAAGATAGTAAGAAAGCCTGCTAAAAAGCCAGAGGGAGGTTAAGAGCACTGGTTAATCTTCCAGAATACCCAAGTTTGATTCCCAGCACCCACATAGTGGCTCACAACCATCTGCAACTCCAGTTCCAAGGGATCCAATGCCGTTTTCTGATTGGTGCATAGATATCATGGAGGCAAAACACTTGCACACATAAATAAAAGTATAAAAGAACACCCAGTCAAAGTGTTGCTGGAGACACAAAGCCACGGGTCTCCCAGGTGAGCTGTGGGAGGGCCATAAGGTTGACTGAGTCAACTGCAGAGTCAGGAAAATGGAGGAAAGTCTACAAACGTGGTCAGAACTGATGGACAGACGGACAAAGAGACAGCAGCTCGAGTAGGCTGTCGTAAGCAGTGAGGATGGAGCTGAGCCCCAGCCTCAGATACAGTCAGGGATTTCCTGATTGTGGGTTCCCTGAGACACACTTTGAGCTTTCAGATAACAGGTGAGTGGGGACATTGCCATGAAACGTTAGATATCCTCCTCTCTCCATCCCAACGTTACCATCCTCTCTCAGTATTGCCAAGTTGGGGACCGAGTCCATACCACATAGGCCAAACTACCACAGTAACAATCACAAATCACCGTTCCCATGGTGTGTGGACCCTAGCCTCGAGTACAGCTGTCCCCTAACTACCCTGGTGGCATCTAGCATATGCACAATGTACACACTGCCTATGACAAAATACTTTACAGTGGTTACAGAAAATATAAAAATCTGCAGTGGTATAATCAGCAAGGTGATTTTTTTATATTTTATATGTTTGATGAGCTCCTTGCTATTTCAGGCTCTTGTGTCACCAATGCCTTAACACATGAACAATGTTCTTCCTGTGTAGAAAAAACATCGTCGACCCAGAAGACCCCCGATGTGCCCGGTTAACGCTCACTGGCCGGATGATCGTGGTGCCGCCAGGGGGAGGTAGAATTTGCCAAACAAGCCATGTTTTCAAGGTATGAAGGTTCTTTAAAACTGGTTTCCTTGGAACTAGGTATGGTTGTGCATGTCCAGCATTTGGAAGACCATGGAAGAAAGAGTCAGAATTTGAAGCCAGTCTGGACTGCATAGTGAATCCAAAGCTAGCCTAACTAAGCTACATAGTGAGACCTTATCATGCATACACACACACACACACACACACACACACACACACACACACACACAATTACAGTAAAAATTCTTTGCTCCCAAAATAGATGAGAATAAATTGGATGTCAGAGATGATGGAGAAAATCGTTCTTACTGGCCTGCTTCTCCAGGCTTCTTCAGTTGACTTTTTTTATACTCCTCAGGACCAGCCTGTATAGGGATGGCACCACCCACAATGGGCTGGGCTCTTCCACATCAATCATTAATCAAGCAATTATCCAAAGACCAGTCTGATGGAGGCATTTTTCTCCATGGAAGTTTCCTCTTCCCAGATGACCCTGGCCCTTGTCAAACTGGCAAAAATCAACCAGTCCATGTGCCTTGCAATGAGAGCAACTGAACATTTCTAGTCTCACCAGTACCACGGACCTGCTCAAACATCTCTATGAAGACCATGATGGCATTTGTTTTGTTATAGGTGTTCTTGTAGTGTGCTGTTGGTCCTTGACTTACATTTATAACATCTTTAGATGTGAAGGAAACTTTTACTTTTTATAAAATTAACAAAAAACAGACCAACTATAGGCCCTGCCTCCAAAGATATTACCATGCATTTGGAAGGCAGGTATCAGTGTAGCAGGGGGAAGGTAGAGCTCCCTATCCATGCTGCCTGGCTCTCAGCTTCCTGCAGGATTGGAAATCTCCCCATGAGGAGATGCATTTCATGGGCTCATCATTCTGTTACCTTTCGTTCGGAAACACACATGGTCTTTCTTGATGTTTCCCACTGGCAGTCATCAGCATCCACAGAACACTGGCTAGAGTCAAATGTTACTTTCTGTGTGCACTTCCTGCTTGCTCCCCATACAACCCTGTGACAGGTGAGGAGATTGCCATGGGTGCAGCATCAGCCTCTGAATTCAACAACGATGGAACTGGGATTCCCACCTCAGAGCCTGGCTCCAGAATGGAGATCTTAGTCACTCAGTATAGAGACTACGGCTTCCTGCCTTTCTAAGGCTCCCCCAGCCCCTGGTCCCCAACTTGTCAGCTTCTACCTTTTGGGGGTTGAGCCCAAATCAGACCTAGAGGTGGAAGGTCCCTGGGACTGGCTGAGGTACACCCACTGACAATTGTAGGTTCACTGGGCTCTCCCTTTGCTTCTGCAGGCATCCAGGGATGAGGAAGTGGCCCCGCCAGTACGAATGGTTCTTCATGAAGATGTGGGTAGAACACATCTGGCTTCAGAAATGGTATGGAGGTGTCTCCGACATCCCAAGGGAGGAATACTTCAAAGCAGCTCCCAGAAAGGCCTGACAGTAACGCAAAAGTCCTGGGCTTTGAGTTAAAATGAAGATCTTTGAAGTGAAGAAGCCAGACAGTCTCTGGCTGCTGTCTCTTTGTTGAAGGGTGCCTAGCTGCCCTGTCATCCTGCAGCAGGAGCAGAGAGGATGAACAGGGAACCTTGGGCTAGACTTCAGATTCGTTGGAGTGGTCCTTTGCGGATCTACCCTTCACATAGAAAGATTTTGTCTACACTATGCTCAACCCAGACACACCCATTCAGAAATCATGGTTGTCAAATTGGAAGTGGTGGTTGCTGTTCTTTTCTTTCAAAAACAAATAATGATGCGTATGTACTGTGTTATTGCCTTGTATCACGAGAGCATTGTGTTGCTTGCTATCTTTAAGCAGTGCTTTGGTTGGAAGCTCATTGCATTAAAAGAGTCCAGTGTGCACCACATTGCATTGCTGTGGGTTCAGGGCAAGGTGGGAGGCTTTCTGTCTGAAAGTTACTCACTACTAAATTCCAGATGGATTTTCTAAAATGTACTTGCCACTTAGGGAGCTTTTTCCTCCACTGTAGTTATAACAGGTGGAGTAAGAACATGCAGTTTTGTACACTGCCTGTTCTGGGTGAGCTGACTGTTAGTGAGAATAGGGTGACTTTGGCACAGAGCTACCAGATCCCCACTGCTAGCATTTCCGGTAGACAGTCTCCCTCTGTCATTCATGAAATGTGACATCCAAAATAAGAAACCCCTCCTTCTACGTGAGGTAGGAAAGACAGGGGAGAGAGAGCAAAGGCAATGTGCCCACCTGTCAACAGAAGTCACCTCAGTAAAGCCCTGCCCAGTACAGTGTGTGTCCTCAGTGTCTCTTTCAGACAGGGAGACTGAGCCTCAGAGAGGGCCAGTCAGTCTCCCAAGCTCAGATACCTGAGTTCGCTGCACATGGACGGTGACTCCCACGTTTTCCAGTTTTAAACATGAAAGAGTTACTGACATGCACAGATAGTCATCAAGCTGTGATTATAAAGGAGAATGACTAACTGCCTGGAGATCATGTGTCGCTGCTGTGGGTGCCAGATGTACAGGGGTCACTGCTGGGGTGTCAGGGGTTCAGGGGTCACTGCTGCAGGTGTCAGGAGTGCAGGGGTCACTTCTGGGAGTTTCAGGAGTGCAGGGGTCACTGCTGGGGTGTCAGGGGTTCAGGGGTCACTGCTGGAGGTGTCAGGAGTGCAGGGATCACTTCTGGGAGTTTCAGGAGTGCAGGGGTCACTTCTGGGAGTTTCAAGAGTGCAGGGGTCACTGCTGGGTTGTCAGGAATTCAGGGGTCACTGCTAGAGGTGCCAGGGGTTCAGGGGTCACTTCTGAGAGTGTCCGAAGTGCAAGGATAGGGAGCATGCTTTAAAGTTTCTCAACAAATCATTTACAAGAGTCCCTGGCGTTTGGAAGATACTAGATTGAAACTGTTTATATAGATCACGCACACCAGGGCCAGAAAGAACCTGGCAGTACCCATGTTTTCTATCTTCCCATAATGGCTAGAAACTCTCTTTAGTAGATCATGTATGTGATATAACATAAAATTACACCACTAGTGCAGGAAATACACACATTCTTTTCTGTTGTTTTGGTTTTGGTTTTTCAAGACAGGGTTTCTCTATGTAGCCTTGGAGTTTGTCCTGAAACTCTCTACAGACCAGGTTGGCCTTGAACTCAGAATTAAAGGCATGCACGACCACTGCCTGGTGAAAATACACACATTCTTAAAACAAAATAATATTGTCTAACAAGTAAGACACGAACAGAGTTGGTGTTGCCAAAATATATTTACAAGGTTATTACACTCTTTTTTTTAATTTGTCTTAAACCATTTCACAAGAGCTCTCAACAATCATTATTTCTAAAACGTAGCCATAGGGTGGCTTTGCTAAAGGTATTTTCTATTTCTAGAGCTGAAAATCATTGCTACTCCCAACCTAGAAGAAGGGGGAGGCTCTGGAAGAACAAATACATGCTAACGGCACTCCATAAGTCCATCTTAGATAGCAATCCTCAAAGGGTCACTGTGTCACTGTTTCCCAGTCTGCCTTGCTGCTGTCGTTTTGTTAGCCTGTATGATCAGGTTCCTTTTATGGAAGGTGCCTCAAAGACTTTGGGGAGCAGATTCCACTTAGAAACACCAAAGATTGTTATCAGCTACTAATAAAAATGACGAGAAATGAGATCTGAACCGACCAGACAGCAGGAACAATATTGAAAGCTCATGGGCTTGAGACAGATGAACCCTCTTCAAACAAATGCATTTTAGCAAATCTCCAGGAATTTACATTGAGTTAAAATTGGTAAGACTGAATTAGAAGCTTTAGAAATAGCAGTAAGGCAAGAAACGTTGAATGCATAGAAATTGGAAAGAAAGACATTATTATTTACACAGAAAACACCAAATAATCTACTTTTATGAAGTCAACAAGCTTGAATTGGAGAAGTGACTCAGAGGTTAAGGCTGCTCTTCCTGAAGTCATGAGTTCAATTCCCAGCAACCACATGGTGGCTCACAACCATCTATAATGAGTTCTGGTGCCCCCTTCTGTCATGCAAGCAGATCACTGTATACATAATAAGTAAATAAAATCTTTAAAAAAAAAAAAGGAAAAAGTCAACAAGCCTAAAGGCACAGAAAGGTCTCAGGATACAAGACCAGCACACAAAATTTAATCAAATTTTAATCAAATTTCCATGTGCTAAAAGCAGACAAAATTAAAAGTATGATAGCATATATAGCCACTCCAAAGAAAGTTAAATACTTGGGGTATAAAGTTAAACTATTTGTAGAGTCTGTATGATGAAAAGAAAATTTTAATGCTAACAAAAATAACCAAAGACTTAAATAAGTAAGATGTGCCATATTCATGGATTAGAAGACACAAAATACGGTTCAGGTCAATTCTTCTAAACTGGGTTCTAGACTTAATGCAGTTTCTACAAAATCCCCAGCAAGATTTTAGTAAACATATGTAAACTTACTACGAAAGTTATGTTCTAGAATAGGAGTATAGCTCAGTGGCATAGCATTTGCCTAGAATACACAAAGCCCTGTGTTTAATCCCAAGCACCACATACACAAAGAAATAGCTATATAATCCAAGGTTTGTAGTCTTTGGAGAAGCTTTAAAAACTCTTTTTAAAAAGGGACAAGTAGGAGAAATTATTTGAATCAGTGGGAAGACACATTGTATACCAATGGTATTCAAAGCAGTTTGTTACTAACAGAATCATGGACACATGGCTCCATGAGACTGAACAGAGAATCTAGAAACTGATCGAGTGTGCTGAACTGAATTTGTTTTTACAACAGTATCAAGGTTTAACATGGGAGGACAGCCTTTAACAAACGTGATGGACACCCATAGTGAACTCCCTCCCTCCCCCTCTTTCCCTCTCTCCCTTTCTCTCCTCTCTCCCTCTGTCTATCTGTCTTTGCCTCTCTGTCTCTGTGTCTGTCTCTCTGTCTCTCTGTATCTCTCTCTCTGCCCCCCTCTCTCTTTCCTGGAATCAGCTAGACATCCTTTAATTTGGTGGCTGGTAAGACAAATAGCAGTATGTCTATGCTATAGAATACTACTCAGCCATATAAAGGAGCTAATTATTGACACAAACAGCAGCTTGAGAAATCTACAGAAAATTATTCAGTAGTTTTCAGGAAGGGGGCACAGAATGAGACAGGCGAACGCAACTATAAGTGAATAACAACCGATTCTTGTGGTGATGAAGTATCCATATCTTGAACGAAATCGAATAGTAAACTGGGGAAAGTGGGTAAAAAGAACATGGGACCTCTTTGTATTATTTCTTAAAACTGCATCTGAATCTTTAATTGTCTACCACTATCTCCGCATCTACAATTGCCTCAGAGGAAGTATTTCATGGAAAAACTCGCTTAAGTTTTTTTATACCGCCTTACTTGCGAGTCCCTAACAAAATGAAGATCTGCATATCAAAATCTAGCAGGAAGGAGACATTTCTTTTGGTGATCACTAACATATACATTTGTGGAAACCATATAACCCTTCTTTTAAGAGTTTTTTTTAGTGTATTTAATTTAGTACTGAACACAAATTACTAAGAACCCGATGGGGCTCGGGGTACAGCCCAACAGGGCACTTGTTGAGCATGAAGCATGACTCCAGCGCCATGAAAGGAAAACAGGATGGATGTGCCTTGCAGATTTTCTGTGGGACACGTAGGTGAAATGAATGTCTTCAGGTTTCTGATGTACACATGTTGAGTAAGTGGTAAGTGTATATAAGTAATTGGGTTTGTAAATAAGGTTTTCTCACTGTGTTACCAGTAATCGCTAGCTTTCTGGTAATGAGACATCTAAAGTAAACACAGACCCTCTGTGTATTTGTCATGGCCTCCCACGACCATGAAGCTAGTCCACTGTGAAATTCTGCTGCTGCCGGTGTCCACATACCGTGGTGTATATTGACTCTTGGTAACTATATTGCTTTAGGATTGAAATGTGTCCCTGAAATTTTCCCCCAAAGTCTTGTATTTCATTTTTAATAACATAGCTGTCACGAGTGCAATGTTTATTGGTGATAAACTTCTCCGGAATAACTTACTGGTTTGTTTTGATTGCGATAGCAAGTCACTTATGGGAAACTTCATTGCGACAGTTGTGGTTTGTGTGCCCTGCGTAAGGCATGCGGAACACAAAGCCTGTCTTCACACCAGGTGTCTCTGTTTTGTCGAACGGCTTCTGTGTTTGACTGTGCTATCATACCTATGTCGGAATAGTTATCCATAGTGTCTTACATGTACTATTGTAAACTAACATTATTAGATTCCTGAGAAAGCAGAGGTTACTACAATGCATCTGCTGAAAAATGTCTAATAGAAAGAAAAGAGTGAGCAGGTGAGTTTTGTTAAGACATTTTTCCTGCTGAGACTGAGCTTGCTGTCTTGCCCAGGCTGGCCTTGAACCTCTAGGCTCAAGCAGTGCTACACAGTAGGCAGAGCTCTCACGGCTTGCCGTGGATCGTGGGTGCTATGACTTCATGAGGCTCTGAGTTACGTGAACTCTATCTGCTGACTTAGAGGTACCATTGTAAATTCTGTAAATACTGTTTGATGACCCGTTCCTAACAGAGGGGCTGTTGGCAGTTGACTGCTGAGGAGGGAGAATCACTCATCTTCGGGGGCGTGGCCACTGGTTGTACCCACAGCCATGCATATATGGGCATCACTAAATGCGTTTAGTGGGTTTTTCTTTTAACTAAACAAAGAGAGGAGGGCATGAAATTGAGAAGCAGACATGAAGGTGGAAATCCCAGGGAAGATTAAGGGGGAAAACTGGAGTGGGGGAGTGTATTTCTTTGTAAACACATTCTAAATTGTCAAATAATAAAAATATATAAAGAGAAAGAAATGCTGTTGTAACCACACTCTAGGCTTCCCGTTCTTGAAGTAGTCACCAGTTTTGTTGTTTTAATTGTGTGTGTGTGGCATACTCTTTATATAAACATGTTAGTGTGTGTGCACATGCATACACATGTGCATGCATATCTGTGCAGGTGCAGGCTGGAAGTCAATGTTTTCCTTAAATTCTCTCCACCTTAATTTTTTAGGTGTGTGTGTCTGTCTGTCTGTCTGTCTGTGTCTGTGTGTCTGTGTGTGTGCTGTATGCATATGTGTATGTGCACATGTATACACATGGATACATACAAAAAGATTAAAGACAGACATCAAGTGTCCCACTCTGTCACTCTTCACTTTGGTCTCTCACTGAACCACAGCTAGACTGGCGGCTAAGTGACACTCCTATCTTGGTCCCTTACAGAAATGGGGTTACAAGTGTGAGTCTTGAGCCTGGTCATGCACAGATTCTTACATGGGTGCTGGGGATTTGAACTCAGGTCATTGTATTTGCAATAACAAACACTTTTAGAGACTGTTCCATTGACCTGACCCCTCCCTCCATTTTATTTTTAAAACCAGAGTGTCTCAATAAACCTGGAGCTTACTGATTTGGCTGGGCTAGTCAGTCATCCAGTGAGTTCAAGGATTCTGCCATTACTGGGGTGGCAAGCAGTGTGCCACCATAACCTACTGTTACATGGAAGCTGGAGATTTGAACCCAGGTCCTCATGCTTGTATGCCGGGCACTCTACTGAGTCATCTTCTCAGTCTCTGCATTTACTGTTTTTAATATAACCACTATTCCTACAGCCCAGGACTCTTTACAAACCCAGGTGGATTGTCTCCTCCTCCTCTCTTCCTCAGCCCCAATCCCTTGGCCACTCCTTGGAGCAGGCTATCTCCAAAACTGATCTCCCTCTGTCTGTGTATCCAGGCTCTTCCTCCTTCTCCTCACCCAACCCTTGCTCTCCTGTAGCCCTTCAGTATCCTCTCCCGACACACCTATTCAGAAAGGTTATTGGCAGCAGGACATGGAGAGCAAGTCAATGACCCTACCCTCAAGAAACTGCATTTTATAAGCACTAAGTAGGCCTCAGCCTGTGGACATCAATTCAGCCTGCATCCTCAGTATCTGCTGCTCCCAGGCTAACAATGTAACACACTCCATCCCTGGATAACTTCTGCGTTTATCTCCCTGTTGCATTGTATTCAAAAGGACTGGCTCTCATTTTAAACGTGAGGTCCACATTCTAAGGTCCACATTTTTGACCGGGCATACCTTCAGCAGATTCCCAAGAGAGCGGCCGCCATTTCTTCTCCTGTGGAATGGCTGTGTGTAGGCTGAGCAAAGACAGTTATATGAAGGATGCTGATGGGAGCAGGTGCAGGAGATAAGGGGGAGATATGGGGGGATTCTGGGGGGTCTTCTGACTGTTTCTAAGAGTGGGTGATGGGCCATATAATGGGAAGTATTGAAGATGAAAATGCAGAGGAGCGCTGATAAGCATTAAGAATTAACTCGTAAATGAGCAAAAGAGTTATAACTGAGGACTTGGGCAATGGCACACTAGAAGTTAGTAAAGAAGGAAAAAGTCAAAAGTTACTTGGATACAAAGCCCGTGGATGTGGAAGGCATCAGGTCCGTGGAGGAGGTGTCCTTGTAGTTATACAGGCTGCTGGACAACTTTGATTGGAGAAACCTGTGAGGCTTGAGCAGCACAGGGAGTTTGAAGGACGCTCTGGTCACGTGTTTAGAAAGTCCTGAAATAGTCGTATTCCGGGCAGGTCACACTCCCACACATTTCATGTTTTCCCAGCTCTGGGTTTCACTGGGTCTGGTAATGGTGACTTCATCTTGGTAGCAACACTTTTCTCAAAGGGAAGGAAGCCAGCAATGCCAGGAAGCAGATTAAGACACCAGCCAGTTGGTACCATCCCAGCATGCGACAACGGCAGTGGGAGGACCTGTGCTCATAAACAAAGGCCAGAGCATTGAAAGCAGGGAGAGGTGGGAGATAGTGGCTGGGGGAGTCAGATGCTGTGGTCAGAGGTGGGGCGGTCCCTATAGGGAGGAGAAGCATCTCCACCCAGCCGAATGCTTGTCAGCGGTTGCTAAGGTAACACGCAGCACTGTGAGCTTTAAAGTATGACGGCTGTTTTGGTTTATTGGGTGAGTAATGGTTTGGCGGTGATGGGGGGGTCGTTGTTCATTTTGGTTTGGTTTGGTCCTGGCGTTTGCTTGTTTTTTGTTTGAGACAAACTGGCTTTGAACTCACTATGTTGATCTTCCTACTTCCAACTCACCATGGGAATATAGACACGATCCGGGCACACCCAGGTTTGGGTGATGCCAGAGAATGAACCCAGAGGTTCATGCCTGCCTGCAAGACAAGCATTCTATCAACTTAGTTACATCCCGGTCCCAGGAATTGTCAAATAAAAACTACCAAAGCCTACTGTTTTGGGCTGAGTTCCTACACTGGGTCCCAAAAGACCAGGATAAAACTCAAGATGGAATCACAAATGCTAGAGTGCTGTAGCACCATGCTGAACCAGGGCACAAATACAACCTTCTGAGGAATCAGGATTAGGAGATATCCTGGTTTTAAGGGAAATGTCTCCTGAAGGCTCATGGTTTAAACACCTGGCCCCCAGCTATTGATGCAATTTAGCTGAAACACTGGGGTGAGGCCTAGCTGCAGAAGTCCCCGTCACTAGAGGTGGCCTTGGACGGTCATTCCCGCCACTAGTTCCTGCCTGGTTTTCTGCTTCCTGTTCAGATGCGATGAGAACAGCCTGCAATCCACACCTCACCATGAGCCGAACGCTCCGCTGTACCTTCTCCACAACCATGGACTGAAACTCTGAGCCACAACTGAGCTTTCCTCCCAAAGATGTTCTCTCCAGATGTTGTGGTCATGGCCACATAAACATAATTGATGCAGAGGAGAGGTCAGAAAGAGTGGTTTCAATTGGAGTGATACTAAAGTTCCTTCTGTCTTAAGCTTCATTCCCAGAAATGGCAATGGAAATGGCCTGGCATGCAACAGTCAGTTCTTTGTTGGTGTTGTCCTAACTGTACAAGCTGGAAGCACCGTTCAGCTTCTTGCTCCTTGTTTGTGCTGCTCTGTGTACTGTTATCCCCCAAACCATCCTCCTCTCTGTTCACTGGTCTGTAAGATGATGTCTTCCCCCATTGTCGTAGAATCTTAAAATTGGCTGGAAGACGGAGTTGACTTCAATTCATTGCTTCTTCCTCTTTAAAAGTCAGTTCCTTCCCATGTAGAATGGGATTATGCCCAAGCCTGCCTGCATCACCGGATGGGTAAAAGAATGGGCTGCACCATTGCATCCCTCGTTCTCACATTCTCTACAGAAGCCATTTGTCTACTGTCAGATTTCCCAGGCAAGAACGGGAAGCATTCGAGAGAGGATGGTTTCACGCTCTCGTTTTGGCTTCTACTTTCTCCACTACTCACTGGGATTTCTCAGTCTCCTGGCCATTTCTAGATAAGCAGCTGAACCTCTGGGAGTGTCTACCAAACTTGCCACGGGTTCCAAACCTAAAGATTTCTTAGGACAGCAGAGGTAAAGAATCGCTGCGTCACCTGGTGGCTGACTGAGGAAATTTTATTTTCTTAGAACACCCCACCGCCACCCCACCCAGTCCAAGAGAGGAACTGTGAAGCCAAGAGCCCACTTCAGTAACTTGTCTGTAGTGGAGACACACCAAGCTCTCTTCCCTTGTAAATACATCCAGGTGAATATTTTCTGCACAGTGTAGATTAACAAAACATGAAACTTTGATAGTGATAGTTCTTTCTTTTCTTTCCTTTTTTGTTTGTTTGTTTGTTTGTCTTGGAGAAAGCATCTTCCAGTGTAGCCCAGACCTTCCCGGAATTCTAGACCCACCTCCCTTAGCCCCTTAAATTCTAGGACTATTGAAATAATATTTTAAAAAGCTATTTTCATCCGTTACTGTAGCTGAACTCCTATTATGAGCTGTGGCTTTGCAAACATTATTTCATTTAGTTTCACATCTGCCCTACAAGGAAAGAAATGTTTTCATGTTAGCATGCCCTCAGGGTCCCGTGATGTCACAGCTCACGCCCTTAGACTGAGCAAATACTAAACCCCACCTTGACTCTGCCCCTTCTCTTCTGACCATGCTTCGTGGAGTCCCATAAGGATGGGGAAGG